GCAACTCTGTTTAAGAGTAATGACTAAAGATTCTGTGGTTTAAAAAAAAAAAAAAAAGCACCTGTTCTTTCTCAATGCCAGAATACAAAGGTGAAGCAGTGGATATGCCACGTCTCCTTAGATTAATCATCTTTAAAATGAGGACATGGCATCAAGGACCTCAGAGATTCCTCCCCTCTGACTCCAGCCTTCTAATTTCTTATATTCAGGGAGAAATGAACATCGAAAAGCGGGAAAAATTAAACCATCTTTCTCACTAGTTCCTTGGGAGACTCAAGCTGTGCTTCATCAGTACTTTCAGTTCCAAAGCATATAGGATCAAGTCAGTTCAAGAGAGCAGGGCTTGGATGAGGGGGCCTGGTGGAGAGCACCGGTTAACGCTGCAAAAGCAATTCTTTCTTCACAGTAATACAACAAGAGCAAAGGGGACATTTGACCTTTTCAAGATTTTTAAAATGCAAAATACAAGGTATGCACATAATCTTGTTTACTGACTGATCCTTTAATAAATCTGGCATATTTATAACTCCACTTAAGATACTGAAGATGGGAGCCAGAAGGAAACTTGTTCTTTCTGAACAATGACTGAGAAGGGAATTCTAATGAATATTTTGGCACACATATCTCATTTTCTGGCTGCTTTAGGACCCAAGAGCCAGTAGGTCATAATTAAAGCCAATAATGGCAACTCCAGACAGCCCACATATTTTCCTGGTGCTGTCAATTCTCTGCATTAAATGCTTTAACATCATATTTGTGGAGTGTAGAACGTACACACAGAGGGAGAATTAAATGTTGATGTGAAATTTGGAATATTTGCTGCAAGTTGCCCCAAAAGATATTGTTTATTACATTCAAAGGAATTATACAATGTTTTCCTTATTAGATAATCTTAAATGACCCTTTCTGGGCTGAGAGCTGTGAAGTTTGTCCTTAAGTTTTCAGAACAAAATCATATTTTCTGCAGACAAAGAAAACAAAAAAGGTGTTTGGGACTGAGGCTGCATGTCATGTAAATAAATGAACTTCTTCTACCTCCACTGCACCTTTTAGGAATGTTCTCTTTGGTCACCAGGAGTTATGCTGCTATAGAGTTAAAGCTACTCACTTTTCTGTCAACTCTGCTTCCAAAAAGAAAACTCACAAATACATGTTTGCAAACCTGTTTGGGATCCTGGAAACAAAGACCTCAGCTTTATCTTTTTCCTGAACAATCTTTATTTTTTTAAAAAAAAAATAACAATTCAAAATCCTCCAGCCCTACCCCTACCTTCCTCCATCCCTCCATTTCTACTTTAAATGATAAGAGAGTTTCCTCTTATAAGGAAATTAAGCATCTCAGCCTGGGCAAGGTAGCTCAGGCCTGTAATCCCAGCATTTTGGGAGGCTGAGGCAGGAGCCTTGCTTGAGGTCAGGAGTTTAAGACCAGCCTGGGCAAGATAAAGAAATCCCCCTTCTCTAATCTAAAGGGAAAAAAAAGTATCTCAGTCTAAAAATGTGTCTGAGAGAGATCTGAATCACCATTTTGCGATGGAACAAACTGACCAGTCACTTCTTAAAGGCAAAACTGGATTTGCTCTGCAAAACAATCAGCAAAAGCTTGGGTTCTAAACTCCAGTGCTGCGCTGTGACAACGGAAACTTTCCAGCTACAACTTGGAAGTTGGGAGCCAAGCACAATACTAAGTCAAGAAAGATATTTGAGGCCAAAACAGACAGTGGTCTTGGCACTGCCTGCTCCTGAGCCCAAGCTGCAGCAGCTGTGGGGTGGTGATGCAGCTTTCAGAGACCTCTAAATCTCTAAGTACACCGGAAACCAGATTTTATTAACTCCCTTTTTCTCTTCCACTTTTTTTTTTTGCCCCCACATTTCTGCCATGGATTATATCATAATAGACAGTGAAAATGCTGTGAGGTATATACTCAGTTCTTAGGCATACTTCCACTTAATCATACTCAGGTTTCTTTGAGGGCCTCCACATTGCGAATGAGCAACACCTTGATACTGGGAAAATGAATATGAAACTCAGGGCCACAGCCTCTGTGATCTGGTCATTCAGTGGCAGTCACTTTCCAGTTTGGCCTACAGAACCAGGCAGGCCTCTGGCCTGGGGGTGGGGGTTGATGTCGTGTTCTTTTGTCAAAATGAGTAGAGCCCACGCAAGAAGATGCAATACCCTTCATGTTACAAGATGGCAATGTGCCCGTTTCTGGGCCAGCTGGCTGACTCAGAGAGGAGGAGATTACTCCGTGACACTGTGTTTTCATTCCAGTCCAAAGGGTAAAAAAATGTAAAACTTTGCTGCCACCTGCTGTTTCTTTAGGAATAAATTCTTTTTTTAAAAAAAGGAAAAAAAGAAAAAGAAAGAAAAAGAATTAAAAAAAAAAAAAAAAAAGAATGAAGGAGAGGCAGAAAGAGGAAGAGGGAGAGAGAACGAGAGTGTTGCTTTATTGCCCAGGCTAGAATGCAGTCTAAAAATGGGTATTGAAAACCTCTTTTCTTAATAATGGAGACAAAAAAAAAATATGAGGGAAGAGAATAACAAACAAGCAGCCAACCAATGTTTCATTTAAACCTGTGAGTAGGTGTGATGTGGTACTGATAAGAGTGTATATTTTGTGTATTTGAAGTGGAGAGTTCTATAAATGTTTATTAAATTTACTTGTTCCGGATCTGATTTCAAATCCTGATATCCTTGTTAATTTTCTGTCTCGTTGGCCTGTCTAATATTGATGTTAAAGTCTCCCACTATTATTGTGTGGGACTCTAAGTCTCTTTATAAGTCTTATGTATCTGGGTGTTCCTGTATTGGGTGCATATAGATTTAGGATCTTTAGCACTTCTTGTTGCGTTGATAATGTCCTTCTTTGCCTCTTTTGATCTTTGTTGCTTTAAAGTCTATTTTATCAGAGGCGAGAATTGCAACTCCTGCTTATTTATTTATTTATTTATTTTTGCTCTCCATTTGGTTGGTAAATCTTCCTCCAACTCTTTGTTTTGAGTCTGTGTATCCTTGCATGTGAGATGGGTCTGGATGCAGCATACCGATGGGTTTTGGCTTTTTATCCCATTTGCCTGTCTGTGTCTTTTGTTTGGGGGATTTAGTAGATTTAAATTTAGGATTAATAATAATATATGTGAGTTTAATACTGCCATTTGATGTTAGCTGGCTGTTTTACCCATTAGTTGATGTAAATTCTTCATTATGTTGATGCTCTTTACTTTTTGGTATATTTTTGGAAAGGCTGATGCTGGTTGTTCCTTTCTATGTGTAGTGCTTCTTTCAGAAGCTCTTGTAAAGCAGGCCTGGTGGTGATGAAATCTCTGAGTACTTGCTTGTTCACAAAAGATTTTATTTTTCCTTCACTTGTGAAGTTTAGCTTGGCTGGATAAGAAATTCTGGGTTGAAAGTTCTTTTCTTTAAGGATGGTGAATATTGGCCCCCACTCTCTTCTGGCTTGTAGGGTTTCTGCTGAGAAGTCTGCTGTGAGTCTGATGGGCTTCCCCTTGTGGGTAACCCGGCCTTTCTCTCTGGCTGCCCTTAGTATTTTCTCCTTCATTTCCACCCTGGTGAATCTGACAATTATGTGCCTTGAGGTTGGTCTTCTTGAGGAATATCTTTTTTTTTTTTTTTTTTAGACAGAGTTTCACTCATGTTACCCAGGCTGGAGTGCAATGGCGCGATCTCGGCTCACCGCAACCTCCGCCTCCTGGGTTCAGGCAATTCTCCTGCCTCAGCCTCCTGAGTAGCTGGGATTACAGGCACGCACCACCATGCCCAGATAATGTTTTGTATTTTTAGTAGAGACGGGGTTTCACCATGTTGACCGGGATGGTCTCGATCTCTTGATCTCGTGATCCACCAGCCTCAGCCTCCCAAAGTGCTGGGATTACAGGCTTGAGCCACTGCACCTGGCCGAGGAATATCTTTGTGGTGTTCTCTGTATTACCTGGAGTTGAATATTGTCCTGCCTTGCTAGGTTGGGAAAGTTTTCCTGAACAATATCCCAAAGAGTATTTTCCAGCTTGGATTCATTCTCTTCGTCACATTCAGGTACACCTATCAAATGTAGGTTAGGTCTTTTCACATAGTCCCATATTTCTTGGAGACTTTGCTCATTCCTTTTTATCCTTTTTTCTCTAATCTTGTCTTCTCGTTTTATGTCATTAAGTTGGTCTTCGATCTCTGATATCCTTTCTTCTGCTTGATCAATTCGGCTGTTAAAACTTGTGCATACTTCACGAAGTTCTCCTGTTGTGTTTTTCAGCTCCATTAATTCACTTACATTCCTCTCTAAATTGTCTATTCTCATTAGCATTTCGTCAAACCTTTTTTCAAAGTTCTTAGATTCTTTGCATTGGGTTAGAACAAACCCCTTTTAACTCACAGAAGTTTCAATAATATCATCCACCTTCTGAAGCCTGCTTCTGTTAATGGAACACACTCGTTCTCCATTAGGCCTTGTTCCGTTGCTGATGAGGAACTGTGATCCCCTGTAGAGGGAGAGGCATTCTGATTTTGGGTATTCTCAGCCTTTTTAGGCTGGTTTCTTCCTTTTGTTATAAATTTATCCATCTGTCGTCTTTGTAATTACCGACTTTCTAATTAGGTTTCTGAGTGGACATCCAACTTGTTGATTTCCAGCGCCTGCGCTGGCTAAAACAGCAGTGTTAAGATTGATGGTGCTTTTCTACCTGGGAATCTCCGATCTGGCTTCCTTCTTGAGTCCGTCCTTCAATCAGCTGAATAGGCGACTCCGCCTTCCCGGAGCTCCAAACGTTGGCCAAAAGGGGACCCAGTCCTGTTTACTCTGCACCAAGAACTGCCGTGCCGGCCACAAGAGTTGCTCTGGCAACCCGTGGGGCTCCTCCACTGGGAATCTCCTGGTCCGTGAGCAACAAAAATTCGTCTGAAAGTGTGGTGTCCTCTTGTTCTCTGGGCTTTCACTAGGAGCTACAATCCCAAGCTGCTAGTGATCAGCCATCTTGGATCTCTCTCCTAGGAATAAATTCTTGAAGTGGTTCTAGGTTGATAATATATTGGTTTATCTTAGCCAAGTGCCTTGAAGAATTTGGGGGATTTTGGAATCTATGTTTATTTAGTTGTGTACCAGCTGGACGGTCATTTCCTAGGATGAACTGTTGGGCCACATGGGTGGCTTCTCTCCTTCAGGCCATTAAGTCCTGCCTGACCCATCCCTTGCTGAGACTCAGGAGGAAAGGACAGACCCGCTGATCCCAGACAAACTTCCAAGGGAGTACACGCGTGGCTCTGATCAGTGAGGCTCTAGAGCAAAGCGTGGGGGGCTTATAGGTTTGAGTGTCTTTTCCTTATGGACCAACGACGTTTGAAGAGTATAACGGCAGGTAAATTCCATTCCCCAAGCACAGACTGTTCTCCGCTGGGTGTGTTAGTGGGTGGTATTCCTTGGAAGTGCCTCTCAGAAGTGCTCTTCTCAGCTCTAAAGGTGGCTGTAAACTTTGGGATGAGGTTCATTTGTGGTGTCTCCAAATGTTTTATCTTTGTCTCCTTTGAAGAAACTGAGGCAGATTAAGGAAGGGGGGTCCCCAGGAAAGTAAAGGGTAGGTCAATTTGAGTCACACCCAGGTGAGAATACTTGAGCTCAGGTTAGATGATGAGAGGGATGAGGAAAACAGTGTCTCCTTGGAGCTCAAGTAAAGAGCACTAGAGAGTTAATATAGTCGTAAACTTAGATGGGCTTGATAAAGCCCTTAGTCATCTTAATAGAGGCGTCCAGAGGACAGAGGCTGCCTTGCCTTGACTACATTAGTAGCTTGTTGCTGCTCCAAATCAGAAAGTGGGATTTTCCTTTTTGCCTTCTTCGGGAAGATCCATTTGTATGTAAATGAGTTCCTTTTGATTGCAGTCATTGTTGTAGTTGAGAATTCTTTCAGCCAAGATCTTTTTCTTGGCAAAGATTACTGAGTCTAGTAAGTGTGCTTTCATATAATTCTAAGTGACTTTTCTAAAGTCACCTAGATCCGGGGCTTCTTAGATGGACACAGAATGAAGTATTAAGGAAATGACCCTTGGTCTTTTCTCCTATCAAAGAGAAAAGGCATTTGAGTGGTAACTGATAAGCATTGAAGGTAAGTGATGGCTTATCACTGCGTCTGGCATTATAGCCGGCACATTTATTGACTCAATGATCAAACTTATCACTCGTTGTTCTTCTCAGAAGGTTCGTGAGACCTATTGGGAAGGGACAGAGATAGAAAGGAACAGAAGGAAGAATCTCAGAGTTAGGGGGAGAGTCTGTAAGTGGAGTGAAATTAATTAATACCAAAATTAATACTGTATATGGCAAAATATATACATGTATTACATTAAAAGTATACAGTTCCTAAAAATGGTCAAACGAGGTTTGATTCCCCCTTCTGTGTCTCATTCCCTAAATATTACGATTGTTAATGTATTGCACAAGCTTGACCATGTTTAGGCTTCTTGTATTTTCTTGTTTATGTCCCCGTTGTTCTCCCTTAGAATTTTGTACAGGCTCTGGAAAAGCTCCAGCCTGTTTCAGCTATGTGAAGAAGAGCTCAGGGAAGGCGTGTGTAGAACACTAAAGAAATGTAGTATCTCCTCACAGGTAGGGCGCTAGCATGATGCTATGGCAATGGGAAATGAAGTGGGAGACTTGAAGCAGGAAGGAAAACTCAGGACAACTGGGTTGGGATAGTGGTTTCAGCTTCTCCTAGCCTCCTAAGGACTGTCTTGACAGTTGTTAGGCCTTGAAGGTTCTGCCTGCTCCTGACCTCCCTGCCTCAGGAAAAGCAGCAACTTCTCAGGAGAATAATGAATTGGTGCTTACCTGTGTGCCTCATTTGAGTAGCATGTGAGCGCCCCATTCTTTGCATGTGTTCATTCTTCTCCCCTTAGAAATCTTGTCTCAGCTGGAAGGTCAGAGCTAAAAGTCCCAATTTGCGTCTGCACTCTGGGATAGAGAAGAAAGTACAGTAATTGCCAAGAGAACTGAAGATGACCTTAACGCAGGCCAGGTGACTGGTGAGCTCTACCCTTCACAAGGCTACCAGAGCTCTAGCCTGGCCAATATTATTTTGCAGGGGAATTTATTACAATCCCTGGTGACTAAATGAACATGGCCATCACTATTTCTACAAACCTGTTTTCTGATGAACATATATTCCTGCTGGATGGTGTCATGACATGATTGTTTCTTGAGTGTTTTAGATACCAATTATTGCCCCTCCTGTTATGGCTGGTAACTAGGATGCTGTCAAGAAAAGACAGCAGGACTTCATTGAGCTTAAAAAGAGCTTTTCAAAAATATTGCATTAGCCTTTTGTCCTTTCAGTCTGTTTTTCCTAGAACAAATGTAATCTTAGTTGCTACAAATTCTGTTTAAAATAGCTCTTCTGGTGAGTCACCTAAAGTTAATGGCAGATTTGGTATTGTTTTAGCCATGTCAAGCTTGAAGTGTTAGCCAAGTACTAGTAACTACTCATGGGGGAAGCTGATGATATATGTGCTATCACATGTGTTTTGAGGATGATCCTATGATGTCCAGAGAGAAAGAAATGACCAGCATGAGCTAGTCAGCATTACATATCTCAGAACAGGCTGCAAGAACTTCAGAAGCAAAAGGAGTGTTTTCCTTAGGCTCAGATGCTCACATGACCCAAGACACATGAAGATTCTGCCCATCATTCACCTCTCACTCCCCACAAGTGGTCAGAGACTCAGAAAAATCTCCAAGAGGCCATACAGAAGGGTCAAAGGACCTTGCAGATGTTCTGAGCAAAAAAATGAAAGCTTTAAACAGAATATTATGCCATGGCTTGAAAGGTCATTATCTAGTTCACACTTACATCAGACTATAAATATTGTCAGAAAAATGAATATGTTTGCCAGGACCACGAACAGTAAAATCGCTCAAAATAAGCCTCAGAAACCCTCTAGGCCAGTGTGGCCATGGCAGACCATGACACTCAAATCTGACACTGCCTTGTGTGGGACCTCAGCAGGAACACAATCCAACAGCTGCTTATCGTAAAATTTATACTCAGTGGATCTCAAAAATTGCAAAAGCTTTCAAGTCATCTGAGTTAATTTTGTCTCCCTCTTGCACCAGCTAGAAGTGGGACAGGGAGACTCATGCTCCTTAAATGAGGTCCCTTTTCAGAGACCAGCTGTCTTATGGCCTCTGAATACTCTGCCCTCCCCCCTACCTGTAGTATAGCTTGGTGTCCAGTTAGCAGTGAGCAGAAGCTGCTCTCCTGCTGTCTCCGCCCACTGTTGGCTAAAGCCAGGTCACCTCCTGCCAGGCAGTGGCTGGGTGAAAGTCCAGAGCAGCTCTCCTGAATAAACAAGTCAAACAAAGGCAGTTCCCAGCAGTGGATGGGGCTGTACTCCAGAAGTCTATTCGCAAATCTGTCCTTTGGAACTCAGAAGATGTTCCCAGGAGGAACAATGTTATGCACTGTGGCAAGGTTCCCAGGCTAGCCCACACCTCTGATTTAATCCAGAATAGACTTGGAAATCAGTGCTCTAGGATTCATCATTATGGGTAATACATTAGTAGTCTCTGCTCTTCCATTTATAAACAGTTGCTGAGCTAGGCATGGTCCCAGGTGATGTGAAGGTTCAAAGCTGCCTCAGCTTTGTCAAGTAGGTAGTTTCAGTGGCTCCTGGGTACCAGCATGGTGGCTGAGATTTTCCCAGTCTCATGAAATCCTTGTGCCTCTTTCCTATCTACATGGTTTAGGCTGAAGGTGAAGGGATGACCATTCCGACTTTTCTTTTGTTTCTTCAAGACAGCCTGGTGTAGGGAAGGGTGACAATCTTGGCTCCACTATTACACAGCAGCATCTCCAAGCTTCAGTTTCTTCTCTGAAAAATGGGATAATATGTAGCTAAGAGAGCCTTGGAGTTGCTTCTCTGGGTAACTACCATGACTTTTGTTAGGGTATCCACATCTCCCCCAATAGACCATTCCACTCCCGAAGACTCAGGCCTAGCACAATTCCATCTTAAGGCCATTATTATAGACCCAGTGGTAGGTTCTGGCCTAACTCAGGCCAATAAGCTTGTATAAGTTTACTGGCTTATTTCCAGAAAAACAAGTTTCCTTTCTCCTGCTAGATAAGAATGGGAGATATATGTGGTCTCAGTGGCAATAGAAAGCCACTCTGGGACTAAAACAGGGACCAACCCTAGATGGAAGCTCTCATTGTGGATGACAGAGTGGAGAGATGGAAAATAGAAGTCCCTGATAAAGTTATAGAACTCCTAAATTGACCCATCCTCAATCCTGTTATACTTCCACTGTTTTAAATGTGTAAACCAATCATTTCCTTCACTTAGTATCCCATAGTGAGTTGAGCTTTCTGCTCCTTGCAGTGGAAAACATCTTAATCAATACATTATAGCACAGGATTTACTGTTAGTATTAAATGAGATATAGCATTCACAGTATCTGTCTCGTGCTGAAAAAAGAAAAAAAGTCCATAGTATTTAGTGCACAATTTACATAAGACCACTGCCCTTCCAATCCAGGGGCATTAATGGAAGAGACCACAGCTTCTCAGCCTTTGTTGGATAGGAAAGCAGAGGGCATGTATAGGCTCCAATAAGACCTTAACCTGGTTTGAAGCATGAGTATCTTCCCTAGGCTGGAAAGGTGGCCCCTTTGTACTGGCTTTAATTTTAGGATCAGCCCCTTTATAGGGAGTGGATCTTGTAACCTGGGGTTTCCCTAGTCCTTGGCAAGTATATGTATTGAAGAGGGTTGGGGGACAAAGAGAGAAGAGAGAAGAAAGGAGAGAAGCATGATTTGCTGTCGCAATAATGAAAGGTCTTACCTATCTTTGGGATTGAGACTAATCTCTCCTCTCTTTCTCCTTTTTCCTCCTGTCTTCCTTACATTTTTTTCTCACTTCCAGTTCTCATTGGAGCTGAAGAAGAAAGGGAAGTCAAGGCTGGGATGGATCCCTGGCAAAGGAGTGGAAGTATATACTAGAGGGAGAAAAGGGAACTTGTATAAGCTAATTCTGATGAGTTTAGATTCAAGTGTAGCACAGATCTCAGTTTTCTGACTACATGGTGGCTTTAGACTCCTGTAGGAGGTTGGCAAGGCTGGGTTCTTGGAGTTTTTGCATGAAGATCAGGAAACTAGGCAGAGCAGCCTGGTTCAAGGATGAAGCGTTCTGTTATGACTAATAGGAAGGAGGAATCACTTGGAGTACACATAGTGGCTATAAGTCACATTTCAGTCATTTCACTACTCCCAATTTAGCCCAAGTCACCAGGGAGAAGATACTGCAATAAAAGAAAAAGTTAACAAAAAGCTGACATGATTGAAATCTGAAGGAACTTGACTCATAAGACACTATTGCTTTGTAATTGTGCTATATTAGAAGGGTAGAGCTCATTTGTCCTAGTTTAGCATACTGCTTTTGAGAGTACACTAGAACACAGGATGGAAAAGGAGTGTGAGAAAACATTATTTCACAAAAGTAGGTCAAGGGTACCATGTTCCAACTGTGAAATGGATGCCTAGAAATGAAAATAGAACTCCAGTGTGGTCTGACCAGAGCAGGATTGAGCTGCCACCCTTTTATCAGGACACTAGATTTATGGCTGTGGTCAAGAATTGCCCTAGTGTTGTTTTTTATCAGTCACATTCCAATAATGCCTCATAATGAATCCATGGTCAATTAAAAATCCAGTTGTTTTTCACATGAACTGCTGCCAAGTCAGGAATCCCTATGCATTTGTGCTGTTGATTTTCTTTGAACTAAAAACAGAACTTTACAATGATTCTTCTTGAAAGTCAGGCTGTTCAGATTATTTTGTATCTTGCTTATTTTATATATTAGCTATTACTGTAAACTTTTGTCCTTACCTTCTTTGTCATTTAAGACATGTATAAAAATATTGACTAGGGCCAAGTGCAGTGGTTCATGCCTGTAATCTCAGCACTTTTGAAGACCGAGGCAGGAGGATTGCTTGAAGCCAGGAGTTTAAGTCCAGCCTAAGAAAGGAAGCGAGACCCGATCTTTACAAAAAATTACAAATAAAATTAGTTGGGTGTGGTGGTATGTGCTTGTAGTCCCCAAGCTACTTAGGAGGCTGAGGTAGGAGGATTGCTTGAGCCCAGGAACTTGAGGCTGCAGTGAACTGTGATTGCTCCACTGCTCTTGTTCCAGCCTGGGTGACAGAATGAGTGTGTGTATGGCTATTCAGTCAGTGGCCAAAACAGCTCTCTCTTTTTTTTTTTTTTTTTTTTTAGACAGGGTCTCACTCCATTGCCCAGGTTGGATTGCAGTGTCGTGATCTCGGATTACTGTAGCCTTGACCTCCAGGGCTCAGGTGATCCTTCCACCTCAGGTTCTTAAGTAGTTCGGAATACAGGCACACTCCACCATGCCTAGATAATTTTTGTATTTTTAGTAGAGATGGGGTTTTGCCATATTGTCCAGGCTGGTCTTGAACTCCTGGCCTCAAGTGATCCACCCACCTTGACCTCCCAAAGTGCTGGGATTACAGATGTGAGCCACTGTGACTGGCCTTGTGGTATTTTTACACCACTTTTCCTCCCCACCTTACCCATCTCTGGATCATGAGGCACATTGTGTATTTTCTTTATGAAATCAAGTTACACTGACTCTGGCAGTTCCACCCTGACAGCCTGGCACTGGCCTAGTATCTTGCATGTAATAGGCTCTCAATAAATGTTTGTTGAATTAAAATGAATTCTGTGAATCATCAGCATAATAAACACATATTTAAAAGAAGGAAATGAGGCGTGATTCACTGATGAACCACTTGGGTTCTCAGTGTTCTTTATACTCTTTTTTTGTTGTTTTAAGTAAAAATGTCATATATTACAGGAAAATAAAATGTCAACTATGATTGACAATTTACATTATGCCAACTATCATCTTTATCAATACCCATAATTATAATTTTTTTTTCTTTTACAAAAAGCATAATCAAACATAAAGTTCTTCTGCCACTTTTGGACTTAGGATAGGAAAATTGATGGGCTAATGAAATGAAATGGGGGTAATGAAATGACCGAAATGTGACTTACAGCCACTATGTGTACTCCAAATGATTCCTTCTTCCTATTAATCATAACAGAAACTTTCATTCTTGATCCAATTATATGCAGCTTCATTTTAAATTTAATCTATTTTGGCTACCTTTCTATTACTCAATAGAATTTCATTGCTTGAATTTTAGTCTCTTCTAAGTGTTTAACACACTGTCTATTTAAATTCATTAGGTTCTGATATAATAATCATTTGTTTTCAAATTATGTAGTTAATATATTCTTTTTTTTTTTTTGAGACAGGGTCTTGTTTTGTTGCCAGGCTGGAGTACAGCGGTGCTAACATGCCTCACTGCAGCCTTGACCTCCTGGACTCAAGTGATCCTCCCACCTCAGCCTCCTGAGTAGCTGGGAGTACAGGTGGGTGCCATTATAACAGCTAATTTTTGTACTTTCTGTAGAAATAGTGTCTTACTATGTCGCCCAGGCTGATCTCGAACTCCCGAGCACAAGCAATCCTCCCATCTTGGCCTCTCAAAGTGCTGGGTTACAGGCATGAGCCATCATGCCCAGCCTAATCCATTCTTCCTAATGTATGTTAAACACCTATCATATGCTAGACCTTGCGTCAGAACACTGAGGAATTAAAAAGAAAAACTGTGCAAGGACCTGGCCCTCCAGAAACTTGGAATCTGATAGAGGTCACAAAATAAGCATATTTATAGTGTTGGAACAGGCTCTCTGTGTTAGGGTCTAATACACGGAGTGTGCCATGTGCTCTGGGGCCTTGATTAAAACAAAGCACTTTAATTTTCTCTCTCATGGGGCTCCCTGGAGCTTGAAGCAGCAGCCGAGAGATGTTCAGACAGCAGAGGCTTTCATCACAACCAAAGTTCTTCTGTCACTCTTGGACCTAGGATAGAAAATTGATGGGCTCTCTGCCTTCGGACAGTTCCTGCTTGGGCAGTGTGTGATAGAAGAGGCACTTACTTTGGATGAGGGTCCTGTGCCCCTTCCTTTTTTTCATGGCCATCAGGTAGGCCATGTGGTCCTGATCGCAGAGACCCTGACAGAGGGAGACAGAGGAAAAGGCCAAAAAAACAGAAACCATGAAGAAGCAGAAACACTCTTAAGGTGACCTTCATGAAACCTCACCTCTGGAATTCATACTTTGGTATAATCCCTTCTCCTTGAGTGTGGATGTGGCCTGTAGCTTTTCTATCTAGCAGAATATAGTAAAGGTGATAAAATGTATGTGATTATTATGTTGACATGATATTAATATTAGTGCAATCTTGCTAAACTGCTCTCTTGGCTTGGAGGAAGCAGATGGCTATGTTGGGAGCCCCATGTGCCAAAGAACTGTGGGCAACCTCTAAGAGTTGAGGGAGCCCACTGGTTGACAGGCACCATGAGACTGAAGCCCTGGGTTGTCTTAATGCAACCACAGGAAATGGAATTCTGCCAACTGAACTCTGAGTGAGTTTGGAGAAGATCTTTCCCTAGACCAGCCTCAGATGAGATCACAGCCTTGGCTGACACCCTGATTACAGCCTTGTGAGATCCTAAGCAGAAAATCCAGCTAAATCAAGCCTGGGCTCCTGAACCACAGAAACTGAGATAAGAAATTTGGGCTCTTGTAAGCAGTTAAATTTGTGATAATATGGGTAAACAACAATAGTTAATTAATATCCTAATAATCTCTTTTGCCTTCCATAACAACTGCAGGAGAAAAAAATGATCATAGGGAAGGGAGATTGGAAGCAACCTCTCTCTATGAAGAGAAGAAAATGACCAGAGAAAGAACTTCTGCTGTGAAACTCTACCACATTCATTCATTCATTCATTTGTTAAAGATGTTAAAGTAGAGATGTGTATATCAATCAGCCTTAAGGGAAGGCTACTGGCAAGGACTGAATTGTGTCTCCCTGTGTTAGTCTGTTTTCACACTGCTATGAAGAACCACCAGAGACTAGGTAATTTATAAGGAAAAGGTTTAATTGACTCACAGTTCCATACGGCTTGTGAGGCCTCAGGAAACTTACAATCGTGGTGGAAAGGAAAGCAGACACAACTCACGTGGTGGCAGGAGAGGGAGGGTGGGGGAAATTGCCTAACACTTTTAAGCCACCAGATCTTGTGAGAACTTGCTGTTACAAGAACAGCATCGGTAAAACTGCCCCTGTGATCCAATCACTCCTACCAGGTCCCTCCCCCAACAAGTGGGGGTTACAATTCGAGATGAGATTTGGGTGGGAACACAGAGGCAAACCATATCACTCCCCAAATTCATATGTTGAAGCCTTAACTCCCAATACCACAGAATGTGATAGGGCCCTTAGCTGGGTGTGGTGGCAGATGCCTAAAGCCCCAGCTACTTGGGAGGCTGATATGGTTAGGCTTTCTGTTTCCACTCAAATCTCATCTTGAATTGTAATCCTCAGGTGTTTAGGGAGAGACCTGGTGGGAAGTGATTGGATTATTGGGGCAGTTTCACCCGTGCTGTTCTCATGGTAGTGAGTGAATTCTTTTGAGATCTGATAGTTTTATAAATGGTAGCTTTTCCTGTGCTGACACACACTCTCTCTTGCCAGCTGCCATGTAAGACGTGCTTGGTTCCCCTTCTACCATGATTGTAAGTTTCCTGAAGCCTCCCCAGCTATCTGGAACTCTGAGTCAGTTAAATCTCCTTCATTCATAAACTTCTCTCCTAAATCAAAGGTATAAAATGCATTAAAAAGGAGAGGATTTATAAAGAGGATTTCTTTGGAAAAGTTGTGCAGCAAGTTTTATTTCCATCAACCCTGAGGAAAAAGGCAGGTGCTTCTCTTATCACCTCAGGTCAAGAGAGAAGGGATTAAACAGGACCACCCTGAGAACTTGTTATGTATCCCCTGCCATTGTGGGGTAGGAGGATCTATATTGGACTTTCAACTGACTTCTGCCTGGAAAATTTAAAAGATGGAGATGGTTTGACTAGAGGCTCGAAACTTGGGAGTAAAGGGGAGATGGTTGACCTGGGCAGCTTGCTCTTCTAGAGTTTGTTGTGAGCAGACAGTGTGTGAATGTTTAAGAGCTATGGTATGACACAGGAGAAGTCAACTGGGAGAGGTGGGGAAGCACCTGAGTTGAGTAATTGAAATGTTAGCTAAGCTGAGAAGGGCAGAGAGTATGGAATTCCAGGCAGAGGGACCAGCATATGCAAAGGCTCAGTACAGAGGCACAAAAAGGTCGAGAATGTCCAAGGAAAAGTAAAATGTTCGGTGTGACTGGAGTGTCATTTGGAAGTATGAGGAGAATA